AACTGCTACATTCAAACTTGCTTAGCATGCATTATGCATGCCACTTAGCTGTTTGTAACATTCTGAACAAGTACTGCCACTATTTTTTCAGCTGCTTGTTAGTATCTGTTCTAGTTATGTATTTGTTTTTCTTCCAGAACTACCTGAAAGATTATTGCAAAAATCAATGCTTTCTGACTTTAAAAACACTGTATTTAAATGAAACTATTCTCTAATGATGTTGTGAAGGAAGACAGTGGCAGTCCTGTGGGAAAGGCACACACATAGCACAAGTGGCAGCCTTTACATTCTGCATAAATGATGTTCTGGTGTCTTTTAGAGTATGTGCGATTATTTGTTTAGGTAACATTCAAATCAAAGTGAGTGACTGTTAGATTTCTGCCATTTTGAAAGGTGATGAAACCAGAACATTCATCATTTCACTGATTAATGATACTTTAAAGTACTTAGTAGCTTCTTGTCTGTCCCAGTTGAGTTATAACTATTGTTACACATATTTATTCTTACCATAATTTAAAGGCAAAACAGCTCTGGGATTTGGTATCATATTTTATTACATGAAGTGATTCTAGTGAATTAATTGTATTTGTGGTAGTTCACTTAATGGAAAGGGTGAAATAAACAAGTGCTTACATTGCCTGGCTACTGGTTTTTCACCTGTATGTTGTATTGAAATGGAAATCATGGAAACATAGTATGCCAAACTATTATGGATCCACTCACTGGCAGAGACTTTTTGCAAGCCTCTGTTATTTTAGAGGAATAATACATATGGTTAAACAGCATAAGATAAGTAAATTTGGTGTTTATTTAGCATTAATAGTTTGAGAATCCCAAGACAAAAATAGCAGAACATTTCGACTGAGACTAAACTGCTGTTGAATGGCTATGTGTAGTGGAGACTGTAAATCACCCACTTCCTAGTGTCCTTGCATTCCCTCACTGCTAACCAAAAGCTAAAATGTCTGTGGCTTACTCCTAATTTCTCATGTAAAGTTATACAGGAATGTGACTTACAGTTGATTACTTATACTGTCTCAATAGCTTGCTCAGAATTTTTACCAGTCAGATAGCCTAGCCTTTCAGATCATTGTTTAAAATACTCATCTACTGTTTTCTTTCCTCTTTAATGCAGCACTGTCTATCAGCTTTTCACTGCAATTAAGCAATGTATATCAGTAGTTCGAAGAATGATGAAAAAATACTTTTGCAGCCACATGAAGATGTGAGCCAATCCAATCTCTCTAGTCTCAGTTTAAGCCCACGATTTTGTCCTTGTCATCTTTGAATTGTCACTTGCTAAACAGAGGTGACTGTGATATTCTTTGACTTTCTTCCTGATATAGATTCTGCAGTTTTCTTCTTACCTCCTTCTTTTCATGCCTTCAGCAATGCTTTGGACGGAGCATTTGGACTTCTAAGAGAGGGAGATCCAGACTCTCCTTTTTTCACCTTTCTCGATCTATGCTTAGTCTCCTACGGATCAAGATGGAACTCTCCAGACTTTGTGAAAAGCAAGTCTTATAGCAAGCCTCATCACTTGCTGCAGCAGACACTGATCTGTTCTAGTTTCTTCTTGAGGGGAGAGTTTCATTTGCATCTCCCAGGCTAGGTGGAAGTAATCCATGAATTTCCAGTCTATTTTTGTTGTGCAGATATATTTATATAATAAATATATTATATACGTATTTGTACATACTACACATGTAGATCTGTTACTTGAGAAGCCACAATTATTTTGCTAGCCTCAGTTGAAGTGACTCTTCCCACCAAACAAGCTTGAAGATCAAATAAATATTCTTGCTACATACTGTAAAACTTATCCATTTGGGTCTTGCTTTAGCTTTTAAAGAGCAGAAAAGCATTATTTATTAATAAAGATAGCACAATTTGTAGGCAAGCACTTGAACCTAAGTAACAATTTGTAATGTTTGTGTATTTTAGGATCTCACTATTTATGATTAGTTCAAGTTGTTTTTCCTTTGCAAACAAAATCCTTGCGTCTCCTTTTGACGTCTCTTTGTGGTTTCTAGTCATCAACTTAAATTATCCTTGGTAAAAACAGAGCTATTAATTTCCTCCTGCTATTGTCATCTTCCTAATTTGCTTCAGATGAGCAGGGTGACTGAACAGTCTGGTGTGGAAATGTCCGTCTCTTCTGGTCTTTCTCTAAATGTTTGTGTTTGATACAAGTCCAAATCTTTTTTCGTGACCTTCATTAGGTATGGCCTATCTTAATCATTACCATGGTTAAAATGTTCATCTTTTGCATCGTAATTGCTGAAATTCCTTTTTATTGGCAAGCACAATGTTATCTAGTCATTTAGACTATTCAGCAAAATCATTTTCCTGGTTTGTAAAATCATACTGTATTTATGTATCATTCTCTTCTTTCTAGCCAAAAGTTATTTGTCTTTGCCTTTAAGCTTTTCATGGCTTAAGTACATCCTTGTATCATCCTTCATCCCAAAGACACCTATTCCTGCTGCTGAGTGATTCATCGTACCAGCCCACGTTGGCCAGCTATGAGTTTTTTTTTTCTTCCTTACAGTTCTTATAAACACCTATTTAGAAAATAAGTTTTCTCCTCAAGATCCTTCCTAAAGTCTTTTCTCTAACATGTCTAAGTAAAAGCTAGACAAGAGTTATATCCTGTTAGCTATGAGTTCTGCATATTCTACTGACCAATATCAGATGTTCAAAGAAATAAAAATAAAGTAATTGAAAAAGAACTAGAGGGTTATTTGCTGCATTTTAGCTGATTTTCAGTAAGTGCCTATGATTGTGCCTTGCAACTTTTTGTGATTAAATATCTATTAACACTTGAAATCTTTTTCTTGCACTAAAACTGTGCCCTCTTTCATTGAGGGCTAATGCTTGTAACATGAATTGCCTTGTGTTTACTGTGAGCTGAGTGCACGCATAAGGACATTTACCTGGCAGTTATCTTCTGGAACAGTATCTGCACAGTTTGCTGCAGACTGCCCAGAATTCAGAAGCCATGGGATGAAACACTCCTAAATGGGAAGAGGAACTAAGAGTTGTACAAATTTCGGAAACACAGTTTTACCCTGATTTTTACTTCTGGTCTGTTAAATTCTGGGATCTTGCATGCTTTTCATTTCTCCACTGACCATATTTTATTCTTAATATTTCCTCAAATAGAAAATAAGAAGCATTTTGGGATATGATTTCTTACAAGGCAGAACGTTTTCTTCTTGAAAATTCATTTAACTTTTGTATGCTTGTGTGTTCCTATGACCTCTGTTCTTTTCTTCTTGGGAATGAGAGATTTGGAGAAATTGTTACTTGTGAGCTTGTGTTTAGGGGCTTACGTAACTATGTGTGTTAACAGAGATGTGGTGTAAATATGATCAGTGGTTGACTTTTTAATTGTAATCGTGTGTAGGCTTGAAGTTTCAATACAGAGGTATAGTTAAGGTTCCTTTAAAATATTGTTAAATAAAAATAAAGGAAATATTTAGATTTCTTTTTTCCCCCAAAGAGTAATCTCAGTAATGTTGAGTTTTCCAGGCTGCACTTACAGCTAATATATGAAGAGTAAAATTAATAGCTAATAGTCATATCGGTTGGAGAGTATGCTGTGTTTTTTTATTCTTAAAAGCATTTCAACAGAGGCTCTCTCCTGGTAGTTATTTTTAAGAGAAAGAAGTTAAACAACTGTTATATAGACTGTATGAGGCTTTTTATCTACTTTGGGATTTATCCTAATAAATGCATTTGTTCTTCCTATTTTTTGTAAAACTGTATATTCTACATTTAATATGATGTACTGTACTACAAACGTTAGCGTTAATAGCTTAGTATTTTAGTCCTTCACAAATTAATGCCTGTGGTAACTGGATGATTTTAGGCCTGTTCTTATAAACAAGGCCTTACTGATGTGTGAGGAACAGTAATATGTGGCAAAAACTCCACATTAACCAAAGTAAGCAGTATAAATGGGGTGTAGGAATCCCCTGTTAGACTAAAAATCTCCAAGAGAAAATCTCCAGAGCCTAAAAATTAAAGACCTCCAATATCATTTTAAAATAAAGCCTTTTATGTAGTATGAGAGCTTTTTTTTCAGCTGATAATCAAATGACACTATTATGCAGGCTTACTAGATTTGCAAATTTACAAGTTTTTACAAGTCAGTTGGGTCCCTTCCTCAGGAAATCAGTTTAAGTTTTTTTTTCCTGTATTGACTCAAAGAGCCTGGTTGTCCTTAAATCCTTCTGAATATATTTGCCTTATAATTTGACGGCAGAGAGTCAACACCCTTATAGGAACTGTAATGCAATAAAAAGAGAAACTTTTCAATATAGTTTCCAGTTACCTTAGGATCAGATTTGGATAAGCTGGAATGTGCACAATAAAACCTGTGCAAGACTTGAGCTCCATGTTGTGTTGTAGGCAATGAGTGCTTTCTAACATAAAATACCATTTGAAAGCTTTGCTTTGCTTCCAGTGGTTATAAAATGCTAAAAATGAAAATGCGCTAGCACGAGGAATTGAAGACTTCATATAAAATAACTAACCATTAATGTTTTTATTCAGTTCATTTTTTTTATTATAGTGAATGTTTTTGCTCTACTGTGTTCTGCAGTAAAGTTATTTCCAACTCATTTCAGATGTACTTTGTGAACTCTGTCTCTCTAGTTTATGCTGGACTATCATTATACATCATACTTGTTAAAAACAAAACAAATTAACTAACAAAAAAAAAACTCCACAAAATTTAATCCTCAGATTGTTTTTCTGCATGTAGTTAGTGGGAAAGTTGTTACCAATTGCCTGTGTGAGTCCAGAAATATGCACAATGTATTTTTCACATGCGATTATAAAAAAGAAACTGGCATTTGCATACCTCTGCAAAGAATAAGATGACATCTGATGTATTTCCAGTGAATGAGTTTTCTAAGACAGATAACTACATAAGGGTACTCTATACTCTCTTTGTTACTCTGTAGTAATCTTTTTTTCCCACTTGTTTCTAGTTGACTTGGAGCATATGCGCACAGTGAAAGTTGATAAACATCAGCGATTTTGTCAGGAAAACAATTTCAGTAGCCATTTTGTGTCAGCCAAGACAGGAGATTCTGTAAGTAAGAAAAATAAACTCTGTATTGATCTTTCTGTGAATGTATATGTTCTTTATTAATTACAGTGTCTTCTTATTTGCTTTGGGTTGAGGTATAGATCTTAGTGTAGAGGTACTCCCGTTTATACATCATGAGAAATGAGGCCTGTTGGATCTCTGCTGTCACCCTTTTTTCCAGGTGCAGTCTCATCTACAGAGCATCAACACAAACTTTTAACAGTTGATAAATTCACAAGATCCTGTTACAATCAAAATTTTTAATGTGGGTTCTGAGCCAGAAGATGTTCTCTCTGCGGGTCCATTTAAACTTGAACTTTCTGGTATTCCTAATGCTTTACCGAGCATATTTTAGAATGATCATTTATTTCAGACCTAATTTAGATACTTGTTTTAGTTGGAAGTGTGTGGAAAAAAAGGTTCTCTTTTAGTTGACTGATTCAGATGAAATCACATTGTATTGTTTTTCTTGACTTCTATCACATACTTAATGACTGTGTTATTCCTGTTAAAAACATAAGTCTGTCTTTGTCTTACACGGGCAACATAGCTTACTTTATTTGAGTATTACTGAACAGTAAGGCCGTGTCCAATTATATGGAAGCATAATTCTGTAACACAAATGGCATCACTGGTTGTTTAAAGATATTTGGTGAAAGCTCAATTACTTTTACAGTGGACTGCCAGATTTTATAATTTGTGTAATTATTGTGTTATACTGCTGATACAAATGCAGTGAATCCTGATTCTCCTTAGAGTTTGTATTAAATCTTTGGCAGGAATTTTTTGTTTAAAGTCTGAAAATGTTTTTCTTATGTTAGAAAGAGAAGACAAATTTTATAATACTTCATGCAGTGAAGTTTGCATGTGATGAAATGTGTTCCTTTCTCAAGGAGACAAACATTTTGTGGTAAAGTAGTAGTTTTTATAAGATGGATGTAGTTAACATTACAAATTAAGAAGGAATCTTTATGATGTCTTTTTAATTGGTGATGTAATTCATGAATTACAGCAGCATCCCACTGTATATGCTAATTGTACTTTTTTTAACTTACTGTTTAAAAACAAAAGTAAATCAGAACGAACCTAAAAGCATTAACCAGAACTTTCTGTTTAAATACCTACTGACAAAAGAAGGTATGAAGAATAGTTTACAGTAGTTCATTTTTAGTTTCGGTATAGGTTTGAATTAACTCTTTCCACTGTTACTGCAGTTCATGTATTTGGGTAGTTGTGCAGGGAAGACAGGGTGTTTATTCTGGACAGTGATTTAGGGAGAGGCCTTCCGTGGCTGCTGTGGGTATAGATTAGAGGAGTCTTACATGCTCAATTAAGGTGGATGAAGTGATTTGTTTTGTTTACCTCAGATCTTTCATTTGCAAAAGATAATTTTATATACATAGAAAAATCTGAATGTCTCCTTAGAGGAGCATTAAACTTCATGAAAGATTTACAGTAGCGTAACTGTCGTACTCTCCGTTGAGCTGCATAACCAGAGCACTGAGCTCCCACCTGGTGCTTTGTGCACAGAACTTCAACACCGCAGGTGATCGGTTCATTACAGCGCAGAGCTTGGTTGGGCAGGTCTCTGAAAAAGGTCTGCCCATTTCCTTGCTCTATGGGTGTTAGTACAGTAGGCTGATAGTAGACCAAGTAGATCAGAGAAAGTAAGGTGATTTTGGAAGTGACAGTGGCTTGTTTGTTTTGCCACTCACTTGTTTTCAGCTTCCAGCTGAGCTGGAAGAAAAAAATGTTTTTATTTATTTGTTTGTTTATCTATTTTAATTTTTCCTTGAAAATGATTGATGCTTCCACAGGCCTTACCTTCTGGAGTGGCAGCTGTATGGTGAAAAGCACTGTAGGCTGGCAGGCTAGCCTTTGTGCTCAGTTGCACAGCCACTCAGAGCATAAGATGCAGCTTGTCAGTATGCTGCATTCAGCAGCAGTAGAGTCTTAAACTGTTCCTGTTTAGTATCATTTGTGTCCTTTAGTTAGATTTAAAATGCAGCTCCCTAAACACTAAGATTGGTGGACTGTATTCAGATGAAGTAAAGGATTATTTTAGATAGCCTTCCCACTCAGTGTTATCTGTCAAACCTCATCTGAAGTTCAATGGCTAGGCTGCTTCATGCCATACCACATTTTGCTTAGACATTCCTGTTCAATAACAGAACAGAATCATTCGTAAGACTCCTGAACAAATACATAATTGCTTCGATTTGATGTTCGTAATGTTTTTGAAGCATATGCAGCAGAGATTTTGGTGCTGATGGTGCACAATTCAGTTGTTCTGAATTTCAGTAATTTATATCTTTATTTCACAATACACTGGTAAAATATTTTTCTGCTAAACATTAGTGAATAAGGGTATTATTCATATTCTACAGCACTGAGAGCAGTATTTGAGAGGTGGGTTGTGTAAAAGCTTATTTAAACTTAAGCCTCTGGAGGCAGAGTCGAAGTGTTGCCTAAAAATCTAGCATACTGTTCATTCCTCATAGCATTGTTATTTTCCCCGATTTTTAAACAAAATTGAATATACCAGATGAGATTGTTCTCAGATCTGTTTCGCACAGGTCACAGTTCTCTATATCTCATTGTTTACAGTTCAAGAATGGCTTGATATATTTGAAAGGACTTTTAGGATGTCTGTTTTTAATCATTCAAATATGATGTAATTTTTTTTTTCATAGGTCTTCCTGTGTTTTCAAAGAATTGCTGCTGACATTCTTGGCATCAAATTAAACAAAGCAGAAATGGAACAATCACAGGTGATTTTTCACAAATACTTGTTTTGCTTAAAATTTTATTTAGTATCTAGAAAAAAAGAAACAAAAATAATGTTGCAAATTAATATCTATCCTTTTAAGTGAACTGCACCCATTCTACTAGAGAGTTAATTACTATCACAAGAGCTTCTTAAAAATATAATAATCTTTATCCATTGTGATAAACTTTATAAAAATTTTCTTAGAAATTAATATCTCTTCATATTTTTGCATTCACAGGTAGCATGAAAGAGGCTGTTATCTATAGATAAATTACTGTGCACTGATATTCTCAGTGTTTATGATAACTGCTTTAAAATTCTTTACATACTAAAGTAAAATCATTTTATAACACTAGAAGCTTAAGAGATAGAAGGCGTAAGTTTCTGCAAGTGTAACTGTTTTCTAAATTAATGTTCAGTATAGACATGTACTGAACGGAATAGGAAAAAAGTACTGTTTCATAGAATCACAGAATGGCCTGCATTGAAAAGGATCACAGTGATCACCTAGTTTCAACCCCCATGCTGTGTGCAGGGTTGCCAGCCATTAGACCAGGCTGCCCTGTTTGTCAGTTACAGAGTCAAAAATTAACTACGTGATGTCCTTTGGTTGGTTAATCTCAGAGTTTAGTTTTCATTGTGTGCCTTCATAATGCAGGATGATGATGATGCTTTCCTCAGTAAGGTCTGTTTGCCTCAGTGTAAGAGCACTATTTCCTACTTGTACATTATCTTGTACAAATGAGAAACAGATCTTTTTCTGATTGAGCATACCCATTCTTGACAGACCTGTGGTATCAGGTGTTTGGGTAGCTAATATGGCTTCCTGCCATCTGAAATTATTTTTCTTACTGTGCCTTTCCCAAATAATCTCCTCTTAAAGGAACTCCTTAGTCTTTTGCTTTTGGACTTTGTGTTTTTTCTCTTTGTGTTGAGTTGGAGGATTTTCTGTCATCTCCTCTGCAGCAAGAAAGGACTGAGAGGACAGTGTTTCCCAGCAATAGGTGGGAAGTCATCAAGAAGCATGTCACCTATCCTCTTATATTGGCTAATAGTGAGTTAGTGGAGTGAACACAGCAAATGCACGTCAAAACCTTGTTGCATATCTTCCTTTGAACTGTAACAGAGCTTCTTACTGTTTCTGAGAAGAATATTTCATGTGATCATTGCATGCAAAATAGTTCTAACGAGAGTAGTTTTATGGCATTTTTTAATTAATGGGAAAATTTTTTTTTGTTTTTTCTTTAATTTGAACTGTAATTTTTTTAACTGTAGTTACTAGAGTTGGATGTTATCTATTTAAATCAGTGGATGTTAGGGGATCTAAAATGTGTTAATTGTTCAAATAAGCAAACAAGCAAGAGCTTTTCCAGTATAGCCCCTTTACTGCCTTCTCCTGCCAGGTTCCTGCTTCTAAATATAATTTTCCTGCCAGGAAGACTGTGAGCACATAGGTTTAAACCAAAGGATTTAACACAAAACCGTTTCAGAAACCTCAAAAGCAAAGATGATACTATTGAGGCAACCTTTACCATGTAATGATATTTAGGATTACAATTATTAAACCCAAAAGTGGCTAAGATGGTGACACGGTGTCCTAGAATTGCTAGATGCTGTTAACATTAAATGAATACCTCCAAAATAAGTGAAAACGTTTAATAAAAGAAGCCAAACCAATGACACAAAATGCATCTTGTGTACAGGTTGGTCTCCTGCTTTTTGAAATATATAATAAATATGTAATTTCTGAAAGTGTTTCACCACTTCAGTGTTTACAATCTGTTGAAGTGGTCGACTACACAACTGTATTGCAAATAGTAAAACGGCAAAATATACTTAAGAATGAATTCCTAACAAGCAAAGGAGAAGAGTTTCAAAAAGGTAAATAAATATTGAGAGTTTTTGCAAAATTTGTTTACTACTGGGGAACCATTCACCTATTGTTCTGAACTGTATAATGATTTGTTTGTGAATAATGAATCCCACAAAGAGCTCCTTAATTTTTCTTGAACTGTTTAGCTTGCACTGAAGCAGCAGTCTTACATCTGTGTTGTTGTGTCCTGTGAACTCAGATATAAACTTGTAGGCAGATATGCAAATACCTTATTACATTAAATACCTTATTAAAATAAGAATATGAGAAAGGAGATTACGTATTGTAGCATTATAAAGGAAGTGTCTGTTTTTAAAGTAAGAACCTCTGTGTAGACTTGTCTGAAGAATGCACTGCTATCTAGTTTGAACTGGTGCTGGCTTTAAGTGGGCTTTTTCCCTACCTTATTCTAAATAATCACTATTTTTAATGATGTTGACTGTATCAATGGAATGTACAATATGTGGATAGGACAGAGTTGATATTATGCAAATTAGGGTAGCAATAACTAAGTTAATATGCACAGTCTAAATACTCACTGTGGCCCACGTGTTACTGTTAATCTAAGCTGTAGTGATTTAAAGAAAATAATCCAAATTAAAAAAAAAAAAAGAAAAAAAGGAAGTAAATCCAGACACAAGCAACAACAAAAGAAAAAGCAAAACCTGTCAGTGGAGGTGGTTAGAAAAGAAATTTCGTTGCCTCCTCACTCAGGTCCAGCAGAAGTCTCTCCATGGTGTGTGTAGCAAAACAGAGAAACAGCCTGACTTTGCAAGATTCTTCTAATGAAGCACAATTTTAATGTGTTCTGAATAAGCAATAATACTTTGCTAACAGTATAAGGCTTGCTTTGAACAAACTTCGAGCACTCTGAGAGTGCTATTTTGAGCAGGCAGTAAGAATCGTTCAAAATTAAGTCAGTGAGAAACCAAAGGGAATTGTATTTCAGTGTTTGTCTTGTTAGCTGTAGCTTTCGGTTCATTATATTTGGTTCCACACTTTGGGTAGTTCTTAAGATTGGAAAGTGTGCATAAAATTGGAGAAAGAAAAATTTTAACCTTCATAGCCTCAGAGAGACAAACAGAAGGACATTTCTTGAGAGAAATTCATTAGTCTGCAGTGGAGAAGCTCTACTGAAGTAATGTGTAGATGCTGTTGCTCAAAAGCATGGAAGTGGGTCTTTTGGCTGAATGGAGGTGGTTTTAGATGATTCCTGGTATACTACAAATAGTTTGTGTGATAGAGAGTCCCATGTGTGTATATGGGGAAAGGGAAGATGTTTGTTTTTCAAACTTCTCTGTAATCAGCGTTAGATTTCCTTAAATTATAGAATGGCTCTGTGAACATGCTCCTTAACATTTCCAGGTGTTTAATACTCTACCAACTGGACTATAAAAACAGATAAATAGGTGCTATAAAAGGAACAAAACAAAACACAAGAATAAGTGCAACTTAGTTAATTTGCAAGCATTGTATTTGATTTCTTCTTTGAGCAAAGAGTAAAGCACACATTAGTTTTACAAATGTGCGTTGTTTTCTTCCAGGATCTTGTCTTTGAATTTTTAGTATTTTGTGTAACGCAAGGTTTCTTTGTTTTGAAAAATGAGAAGATTTATACTTGAGTATATTTTAGTGTAATGGCATGAAGCTGCATCGGGGTGGGTCAAGTTGGGTATTAGGAAAAAGTTTTTCACCAGAGAGTGGTGGGCATAGAACAAGTTCCCCAGGGCAGTGGTCACCTGCAGTTGCCAGAATTCAAGGAGCATTTGGACAATGCTCTCAGAGATATATGGTCTGATTTTTAGGTGGTTCTTTGTGGAGTCAGGAGATGATCCTTATGATCCTTTCCAGCTAGAGGTATTCTATGATTTTATGTTTGTCAGAGAACATCTGAGTGTGAAGTGTTTTCGTTTGGTTTAGGTGGTAATGAACAATAACATGAAATACTGAATTTGTGTAAGGCACCAACAGTGAAATGATTTATCAGTTATGATTTATTGTATATTTTTTCATAGTTACTGATTGTCTAATGCTGAGAATACTCTTCATAAATTATTTCTAGCAATTGTGATTTTATGGCTGAAGATCATATTTTTTTTCTTTAAAAAACGATTCCAATTGTCACAGTCATTAGGAGAATCGTAGTCACTGTCACTCACCTGTGGTTAGTAATAAGAATCCTAAGCACACTACTTCAACTTGTATGAATTTGTGGGGCTTGACTTGTGGCTTCTGTGCTTTGATGACTGGCAGAACTACAGAAATTCTTTTGAAAAGTAGGTGGTGTCTTGGTTCCCCTTCAAATTGACTGCTAAACTGTTAATTAAGTGCAAGAACAAGCCTTAGAAATTATTTGCCATGCATTGTGTTAGAAAACAGCTGCAGCAGTTTAAGACGTTAATGCAACCCAAGGTATTTGTTACTGCCCTTTTGCTGGAATTTATTGCTCCCCCAGCACAATCAGAAAATAGAAGGTGATCGTGTGCCTTGGCTGCATCAGGGTGAAGTTCAACAGCTTAGCTTAAACTGCTGATGAAAGTTGTTTTTAAGTGAAGTTGCCGGACTTTGTGCTGAAGCGGATGAGGTGCAAGTACATGTTACATTCCACCAGCTCTCCTTTGGCAGCAGTGATCTCCAGCAGAGGAATAGAACAGGCATTTGGGGGTGGTAAGTTTTTAAACTATCTCAGCAAGAGCTCCTAAATCTTGTCTGTTAACATGCTGAGATGACTGTTAATCAAACCTTTATTTAGTCAAAACTGTGGTGAAACAAAGGAATAGATTACTGTTTGTGTGTGACTGGAACGTGTTTTTGAAATGGAACCATTCCAAAGTCAGAAAATTGCAGATTCTGACTTATTTTCAATCCTCGAATTCCTCTCCTTTAAATCACAAGGGTCTGATGAAATTTGAGGAAATAGCTCCTCTACTAATCAAATGTTTTTCTTTCTGTATTTTTTACTTTCAACCATAGTATAAAAACCGCATGGGGTGCAGCTTTGTTCCTTGGCATTGGCAAGAGGTAGCGTTTTTGTAAGTGATTTGTAGTTTTGTCTTTAGCTGTATGCCAGCTCAAGAAATGACGGTGTGCATATGCCAGTTTTGTATAGTAAAATGTTTGGCAGATAAATCATATTAGGAATTCAGAGCACCTGCACCAAGTAAGTTTTTTGTCATTACTAACAGTGGTTTGAACCTTGGCAATTATAGATGTGTCTTGTATAGATACAGATACAAAGAAGCTCAAAGCTTCTTTGTAGTTAATAAGATAAATACTGCAATTTATTTTTTAAAAACATGTGAAATTCCTTTAGAAAATCCTTGTCATTTATGTTAGTCAACTTTTTGCTACAGTGTGCCTAAACACAGATCACTAACCTAGCCTTGTTTACATGATGGGATTTGGACCAATGTTTTGACGACCAATTAATTACCTATTGATTGCAAGATTTTTTTTCCTTGGCTTTAGTCAGAAGATTGGTATGACGAAATTAGGTCCTGTGAGGTCAGATAGCACTGTTTAGTGCTAAAACCCCTACTACCCCTTCACATGGATTTAGCAACCTTCCCTTTGATAACATTAGGCCAGGAGTCTAGTAAATCACAGATGTTGTCTACTAGATAAGATAATACAAATGTGATCAATTAAACTCAAGAGGAGTACATCAGCAACTAATAAATTCAGATCCTTTACCAGGCAATTCAATTACTAGTATTTGTTTAACATAAAGGTTTTATTTACAGAGGTAATCTTTAACATGTGCTGCTCATACATTCACGTAATCCAGTTTACGTACTGTTTCCTTCAAAATAGTGACATACATTCATTTAGCCATTCATTTTAACTTTAAAAATGCATTGCGTAAAAGTTGGAGTTTTAAAGAAAAAGATTATTTTATCTTTCATAGCAGACCTCTGCAATTTTTGTGCTTAAGTTATATGATTTTTTTTTCCCCTTTACATAAGCAATTTGTTAATAGAAAGCTTTTAACAGATTTGTTTTCACTTTAGGGAAAAAAAGGAGTGTTTTTTTTCTTTCTTTTCTGTGAAGTAAAATCAAAGCTGGCAGTGCTTTGACGTGAGGTTTTAATCTGTCACTAGTTTTTGGTTAATATCCAGGTGTAATGTAAGAGCTATGTAATGGAAAAGATATTCACACATTGCTAATGCACTTGTTACAGTTGCTGATAGGAAAGCTGACTACTGTAAGATTTATTTACCTCAGGTTTAAAGGAAGAGGCTGTTGTCACCTTCCACTGAATTATCTTCCCTTTTCTTTCCCTTCTATTTCTGTCCCTTCTCCTCCTCTAGTAAGTTTTTGTTGATTGCATGCATGAATATTTCACTTTGATGCTTTGAAAGTGCATGTCCTTGAAGAAGCCTGAGAATGAAAACAGATGCTGATCGTGATGCTTTCTGCTAGATAAGTTCCTGTACTGCATAGGGCCTGAAAAGAAACGCGCTTTGTTCTAGCTTCTGTGCTGACATTTTGTATCATTCATTCTTCCTTTTCAACTACTGATCAATCTTTCCATTTTTTCTTCCCTTTCCTTTTTTCTTTCTTTCTTCTCCTTCATCTCTGTCCATTGTGTTGATACATGATTGAACAGCATGTTGTCAGGGCAGAAATAGTGAACTATCCTGAAGAAGATAACCAACATCACAACACTTCCAGCTGCCAGAGCAAAGTCTGCTCAATGCAGTAGTTCAGGTATTGATGTAGAAGTTTTTGTTTGTTTGTTTTTTGTTTTTTGTTTTTTTTTTCAATCTGCATTGGTTTTACATGAAATAACATCTATAGTAGATTCTCTTAGAAATGAGGTACTGATATAAATCAGTAAGCAGAAATAATATATATAGTATATTAATTTGAAGTCTTGTGTTCAATTACGAGGCATTTCTAATAACCCCTTAGTTCACAGAAACTTGGTAATACTTCATGTTATAGTATTAAGAGGAACTTTCTGGGCTGTGAAGTTCAAAATATTACATTGCTGCCTCAAATGAAAATGGGCAGAAAACTGGTATCTCTTATTTCTCTCCCCATGTAGGAGAAACCAATAGTTCCATCAAATGCTTGATAAATAGAATGTGTAATATCTGTTAGATTTTTATATTTTTGTATTTGTAGTACACAGAAGTTCTTTTTATGTTAATTCAGACTTTGTCTGGATGCCTAGTTAAGCTTTTTTTTTTTATTTTTTAAAGGATGTTTGTATTTGAAATTTGCTTTGAATTCTGTCTGTATTTTCCTCTGAATAGCTTAAAGAGGCAAAGGTGAGCTACCTGCAATTTCTGGTTAAGATAGGCAGTTATTCTGAAAGAATGCATACCACAGTGTTTGTAAAATTCTGTTTTATAATTTACATGCAGAACAATTCTTGAGGAGAAAAAAAATGCATTTACTGATTTTTTTGCATTGCTGCTTTTTATTAGCTCTGTAAAATTGTCAACAAAACTTACCAAGGCACTTCCCTCTGCTTAGTATGAGTCAACTTATTTAGACTGATAAAATAACACCTGATCAGACTTACTGTAAGATGCTGAAGAAGACTGAACTGTGTCTGTTTTGCACAATCTCTTTATTTTTCCCTCTGTGTTTCATAGTAAATTATCTATTGAGTTGTTTGCCAGTATCAGTATTGTATTTTGATTCTGATTATTGCTGTGTTTTTTCTTTTATGACAGAGAGTGGTGAAAGCAGATATTGTCAACTACAGTCAGGAGCCTGTGACAAGAAGCGTTAATCCTCCTAGAAGCTCAATGTGTGCAGTTCAATGACTGTATTATTCTTCTCTGTTTTGATACTTTTGGCTGTCCTACTTTGACACAGACTCTAGGATTGCCAGGAACTTTTAACAGTCACCATCGCTACAGTGCAATTACAAGTTTCAAAAACGTGTTGCACCGTTGAGAAGCAGCAAGCAGTTATTTTTGACTGGCTGAAAATGAAATGTTAAGACCACACACTTTGAAAAATAAAAATCTACATTCTTCTAAATTATATTTCAGTAAATCAGTAGAACTTTGTTTGTTTTTTCCTATCTATTTGACTGATGCTGGAATGAAAATGAATGAAGAAGTATGATTATGGAAGTTTTGCCAAAGCATTTCTTTTTCCTTTTTTTTTTTTTTTTTTTTTTTTTTTTTTCCCCTCCTGTGATCTAAACTAGCATTCAGCAACTTGTAACTTGGGGAAACTATTGCTGGAATACTTTTAGACAACTAATATATTTTACTTAGGGATAACTTGAAAAGTATTCCATAAATGTATATACTTAATGCAAAGTGTATAAATTGTATCCAGGAAGAATCAGTGGTTGAAATAAAGCTGTAATATAAAAGTAATTACTTTTCTGAAGTCTCAAGTTGAAGTTGCCTTCATGGATGCTCTGAAAAAAAAGCTCACGTTTTGTGTATTTTTATTCCCACATCAGTATCACTTTTTGTAGTAGTAGATATGCTCATAACTCTACATGAATATGGATGAACCTCACTTGGCTGTTTGGGCTGTAAATGTTGAGTGATATATTCAACGTGCGTTAGAAACTGTTGATAGATCAATTAGGATCAGTCATTTTTATTAACTGAGTGACTTATTTTTGGACTGATACTATCTTATTTCTATTTAAGAGTTTAAAAAAAAAACAACCAAAAACAAATAAAAAGCAGTGTTCTCTGTGATCATCATATTTCTCCTCTGTTCCTTTTCTAGCAGTCTCTTTCAGATATACAGTTCTCTCCTGCCACATCTAAGGTAAGGTGAGGAAAAAAATTAAGCCAACCTAATTCCAAGTTAGAAGGCTTTTCCTTTTTTAACTCTACAGTGCATTTTCTTATGAAGTATGACAAAACGTTTGGAGATTTAGAAAATTGATGAGGTTGAGCAAAGGAAGCTTGTAATTTCAAATGGAAAAAGTGACAAGGTCTTTCAATTAAGGTATTCCTATAGAGCTGCTGAAGAAAGAGTTTAAAATTTAAAACAAATATGTTTAAGAAATTCCAAGTGGTGAGAATCATAAAATGGTTTGCGTTGGAAGGGACCTTTAAGATCATCTAGTTCCATGGTATAGGCAGGGACACCTCACTCTAGACCAGGTTGCTCAAGCCCTATCCAGCCTGGCCTTCAATACCTTCAAGGAGGGAGCATCCACAACCTCTTTAGGTTAGATTTTAGGAGGAAGTTTTTCACACAGAGGGTGGTGATGCACTGGAACAGGTTGCCCAAGGAGGTTGTGGATGCCCCATCCCTGGAGGCATTCAAGGCCAGGCTGGATGCGGCTCTGGGCAGCCTGCTCTGGTGGTTGGTGACCCTGTACATAGCAGGAGGGTTGAAACTCAATGATCATTGTGGTCCTTTTCAACCCAGCCCATTCTATGATTCTGTTCCATTGTTTCACTGCCCTCACTGTAAATAATTTCTTTCTAATATCTAGTCTAAATCTACGCTCTTCTATTGCAGAGCTATTTCCCTTTGTCTTGTTGCTGTATGCCTTTATAAAAAATCCCTCCCCAGCTTTCCTGTAGGTCCTTTCAGGTAATGAAAAGGCACTATAAAGTCTGCCCCCCATCCGAGTCTTCTCATAGAATGTGCTATTTGATATTATTTTACTATATTCAAAGTTAATTGGAAAGTTAAGTTTATTTTTTAACTGTTCTGTGCAATTTGATGTGTAATTTTATAACTTAATGATAATGACTTAGCGTTGTGATATTTTAGCATTGAAATGTGGGAAATTTTCTGAAACAAGCTGAATTGCTGAGAAAGATTCAACAGTAGGTGTAGATGTGAATTTCCAGTGAATTATTTATTCTAGGGTTACCATCTGTGTTCTTCCTTCTATCCTATGGAGCTCATGTTCCACTGCACGGTGCTTAACTGCAAGGTAAAAGGCAAACTGAAAGGTGAACTTGTCTTTTACTTATCAATGGATGAGTACATCTGCCTCACAGTCATTCTGAAGTAGCTGATGAATCATACTCATACTCTCCAAAGCATCTGGTAAGGTGTTTTTTTTTTTGTTTTTTTTTTTTTTAATTCTTGGATATTTTTCTTCTTGGTGTGCCTATGTCCGTACCCTTGCCCATATACTCAATTATCAAACATGTAAATTCACCCTCTCTCTGAGATCTCGCTGGAATGTCAAGATCTCAACATTTCTCCAGGACTTACATGTCAACCTCATAGTCCTGCTTCCCAACAAACATGTTGTATGGTCATAAAATGTGAATATTTTTGGCATTTCAAAAAAATTTCCCCACACTTTATAATAAGTTTAAGTCAAATTTTGTGAAAAATGACAGAAATAAGGTGCCCATCAGTTTGTATTGAAGGCCTATCTTCCTAAAGATGTTTGGTACTTAGCTGGTAATGATCCTTCATTCTTTTCACTTTGTTGGTGTTGATGTTGAGGAATCTTTGTCTGCAAGAGCAAAAGAAGCAAATGTGAAAGTTGTTTGCTCCCAGGATGCTTTTGGCATGCAGGTTTAGATGGTGGGAAGATTCACATCTCTAAACTTATGCCTTCTGATGAAAGCTGCCTGTTGTGTAAGTGGTAGCATTTACCTGAGATAACTAATTACATTGAAAGTAATGTGGCAGGCCTGTAACAAGAAATAATGGAAGAATATAGGTCTACTGAAAATTTTTTGCAATGTAAATTGAGCCATTCAAACTTTTGAGGTGCAGAAAATGAACGTGACACCCCTAGCAATATTGATTTTAAAAAAAAGTGTGCTTCTCTTAAAAACTTTTCATAGTTCAGCTTTTCAGAAGAGAATGCTTTCTTATGACTTGTTAGCGAAAGCTCATTATTACCTGAATAATCAAAAACTTCTGATTTTATTTACATTTGTTGTAACCTGCTTTGTGAAAGGTATGATGCGTCCTTGTCCAAGCTATTTTACCAGTGGATTTTTCTGTCTATTTGTGAGCTTTTATTCTCAGTGTATTTTTCTAGGTGTCTTTGACTTGCATATCCGTCTGTGTTTTCTTCCCATTGATCTCTTCACCATTCTTTATATTTCAGTCCTACCTCCTCTGAATGTGCTTGTTTACATTTACGAGACTTTCTCATTCTTCCTCCCTAACATCTATGTATATTATGTAGGCTAACCACGACTCTTGTGTCTACTCTGCCCCCAGCCCCTCCTTTTGCTGCCCCTCTTAACCTCTTCTAAATTTCTGTTTTGTATACTGACTTCCACTCTCCCTGCCTTTTCCCTACCTTAGCCATCCCATTTAGATCCATTACCTGTCCACATTTTAATCCTTACAAATGAGCTTTGCTCTTTTTGTTCAGCCCTTGGGACCCCACCCAAGCCGTTGGATTCCAGCTGCAGTGTAAATCCCGGGGCTGTGGTAGCTGCCTTTGAAGTCTTGCAGCAGCTGTTGGTGGAGATTCGGGGTGCTTTTGCCATCTGTATGGTCTGTGTTCCACTGAGCTGACCAGAAAGGTCAGAGATAATTCCAGAGGATTAAGTGATGTGGAGAGAGGGAGTCGCCTGTTTGGCAGAGAAGGCAAGGGCTATCTGTAGTCTGATAGGGAGGAACAGACTGAATGGGAAAGGTGTGCAGCAGAGAAGCAGGCAGCCAGCACCCTATATCCAGTCTCTTGCAAGTAACATTGCACTGCTGGCCCCCAAAGTGCTCACACACCTGGCTTAACTGTGTACCATATTAATGAGCTTAAAAATTGCTTGGAAGGGGAGAATTGGTTGAGAGTAATTCAACAAACAGCAATGAGGTTAAATAATGTAGCACTCTCCCCAAGTGAGGTGACATGTGCTTAATGTCCACTGACATAAGGGGGTAGGGGGGCAAGCATGCTCTCTCCTGGAGCTGAGGCCAGATGAAGGGAAGAAACTTCTTCAGGCCCTGATCTTACACAGATGCACACTGATGAAGTGATCTGCCTGCTCAGAGCTGTTGTAAGGAATCAGTGCAGTAACAGCTGTATAGCTAAAAGCTGTGTTTGAGTTGAACTCACTGCTATGGTCAGCATAATCTTTTGTGTGATTGTGCGCTCGATTATCAGCACTTTCAAACTTGCATTTGAAATGTTATTTGTATGCAACTTTCTTTTGTGGTTCTAAGATTTGGTGGGCCCTACTTTCTTTTTCATAAAGAGCAGCACAATGACCTGTTCATAGAAGTTGTAGTACAGAGTACTCGTCAGAAGGTGCCCCTATTGCATGTGTTGATCTGAGACCCAAAACAGGGTTGCTGAACAAGGGGAACAAGTGGCATTGACTGAGTCACCATGTACTTTGTCTTGGGCAGGTCACTAACCTGAGCTGGTGCAGCAGCTGCAGCTGACTGGAAACAGGAAAATCTCCCATAATTTGGTGTCTTTAACTCTTTGGAAGTGCATCTTGGTATATCTGACTGGAACTGTGCTGTTCTATTTATCTTTTGTCATTGACTGAGGGCTAAATTGCTGTTCCTTAACATAATTTACAGTTATGTAGTAACGGGAAATTTTCTGTGAGGGGAATTTAATTTCTTAGAGCACTTGTATTTATTTCTGATGGTAGATAAAGAATTGGTATGATGGTCAGGATGGAGAAGTACTTAAAGCAGCAGTGACTTTCATAGAAATGATGTTTACAATGCTGACATCTGGAATTTTAGCATTATTTCCCAAGCAAAGATGGTATTCTACAGTGCTATACTTGCATTCTTTCTCTTAGTTCAAGTACTGCTGCTTAACATATCCATCTGATTTCTTTAGGCTGTCTTTATTTAAAAACAACTCATAACCACTTAAAATGTCAAAGCAGCTGAATGCTGCTGAAAAGAAGCAGCCAAAACTTATCTGTGTTTGTGTAGGGGTAATGGCATACATCTGAGATTGAAACACCAGGCCAGATAATTATCTGTAGGAAACAAATTTATTCTCTGATTTCAGTTACTATGAATAGAATGTGATTAGAATTTAATGTGCTGCAGTTTTATTTGCAAAATACACAGGTCCTGTATAAAACCTCTTTTTATAATGTACTCTCCAGAAGCCTTGGGGATCCCTGTTTAACTTGCAAATGCAGAAGTTTGATCTTCCCCAAATAGAAGATAGTGAAGCTCCTGAGTTCCACGAACTGATTTCTATTTTCAGCTCCCCATAGAGAGCTGACTGTTCAGCCAATTTAAACTTTTTTCTACTCCACTTCATCTTCGTTCATTTTGGCACTGACTGAGCTTTTGAACTGGAAAATTTCCAGTTAGCTAATTGGCCTTTTGCCTTGTTTTATGTGGGGGTGATGTCAAGTGCTGAAATAACCAATTGACTGAAAGCAATCTTGTTTCAAAAGTTGGTTAGAACCAAACCTAAGAAGGTACCAATTTCAGGTTTGTTTTGTATCTAACCACTACACTGAGTTCCTTATTCTGGTGGACAGGCCTCTGAGAAGAATATAGATTTGAGGTCAAGAGCTGGTGTTTGCTCAGAGACCACATTTAGAGCCCTGAATTCTAGGGGAAATAGCTTAGGAAGCCAGATCTTTTTTTAATTTCACTTTTAAGACTTTTCTCTATATCTATGCTCTACTATCATGTTGACAGCCAACGTTTCTATAAAGATAGAACTTAAGTCCCTGCTTAAAATACAGATTGTGTTAACTGTACATTTTTCAAGATTCTTTTTTCTTTTGAAGATGATTTGACTGAACAGCTTATGTTGTGTGACACC